TTAACCAGTCACAAAAAACTGTAAAATACTAGTGGTCTTACACAGTATTCAATAAAATTAAAAAGTACATAATATTATCAAAACTTCTTATATTTTGAAACAAAAAAAAAACCGCTAAAACATCTTATATTTTGAAACGGAAAAAATATTTTTGTTTTTTGCATTGTGCAGTTTTCAAAGTAAAAAAAAATGCTTTAGAGTTAACTAGAGTTACTGTGAAAAAAAAAAGTTAACTAGAGTTAAAAAAACACATTTTTAGCTAGCATAACTAAGGTTTATCAGTTTCTCTATATATGAACATTGGTTAAAAATAATTAAGGTCTATTTAATCATATATGTCCCAAAATCCAAAATTGTTTTATACTATAAGTTGCATGATATTAAAATATCTAATGCAACTCAACTTTGATACCACATGTTATTAATAAGACCTATAATATGAATATATATATTTGACACAATCCTAATTAAAAAGGGAAACAAACACGTTTATAGTTGATGATTAAAAACAACAAAAATCTTTAAGATATCTTTACCAAAATTAAATTAAATCGATTGGAGAAAAAAATATACAATTTCACATAGAAAATTCTTCAACACAACCAAAAAAGACAAATAAGAAATGTAGGTTGAATGAAGAAGTTGATAAAATAGAAATTGAAGGTATGTAAATCAGCTGTACAATTGAAGTGGAAACCAGAAAGAAAAAAAAAGATGTAAGAATAGTTTTCAAGTTGAGTGGTTGTCAACAATATAAGCATAAAGAAGTTGGTTCCAAACATCAGGAACTCCAGGCAAACACCAATGTATACAATCTGAATAACTACTTGGGTTTAAGATTTCATCTTCCTTCAATGCTTCCCATTGTTTTCTGTAGACCGACGGATGGCCTTCTTTTCTATACTCCGATAATTGCGTAATATTTATCATATGTACGTTCAATCCTCGTGTTTTTAGCTCGTCAAACACATTTTCTACGACTCTCATCATCTTTGGATCTGTCCCTCTTCCATTGTATCGTTCTTTATATATTGGACTAGTTTCTCCGTAACAGTTTTGATTAACTTTCCCTCCCCATTCTTCAGCCCTACATAGATGTATTTCTTTTACTTGATTACTTGTATAAAGAACATGTTGGTCAAATAATACCAATAGGACAATCTGATATTGTGAATGCCGATCATCATATGCATCATTTGATATTATTGACTGAATTGGTACCCAATATATTAAAAGTCTTTACATTATTTATTTGTACCCAATATATGGTTTTTTGCATTTATGTTTGTAATTTCAAAATAATGTTTCATAACAAATGACCTTAGTTATATTCGTATCTAACATTGTTTTTTGTTTTTCTTTGTTCTCACGTATATTTGTATCTAACATGAAACAAAGTTTAACTAGAGAAAATTGCACTCCTACTCTAAAAATTTAATTATATTTTGAGAAATAACATTATTGACAAAAAAAAAAAAGAAGTAATGAATGAAGATACGAATCCATGCGAGAAAAAAAAAACATATCAAAGAAAACATTATTATGGATGTTGAAAAAGACTTAGAGAGAGTACCTTTCATGGGTGGGAGACATGGACATGAAGAAAAGTTTGGTGATATTGGAGTTAACATGAACTTCCAACCACTGAGACAGTGTTTGCAAAGCCATCTCATAAACTCTCACCATCTCCACTTCTTTGTATATTCCATCTACCTTCTCAAACGACCCCCACCTTTATTTTTATATCACATGTTACCC